GGAGCCCAGCAGGTCGAGGCTGCGGTGGCCGGGAGCGGCCACTGCACTTTTATCTGGGCGACAGAATGAGAATCCAAATCAAAAAAAAAAAGACCCAAAGATATTAGGGGAAATTGCCTGTATTTGTGTTTAGGTTTAATCAAGTATGGCCAGCTCTGTAGAACTATGATTGGACTAAAAGGTTATGATCTAATGTTAATAGATGGAGTAGGGAAACCCAGCAAGCCCTGTCGGTCTAGATTCTTCTTGGCCTTTCTGAGCCTGCATTCCTTCCTTCTGGGTATGGGGCAGGGCCCTCCCTGGAGTGGGGGTCTTATGACCTATAGTCAAATAAGGTAGGTCAGATAATTATTTTAGGGCCAGTTTGGGCATAGAATAATCTTGGGTTTTATGGCAGGCTTTCAGGCAAAAGGGTTCTGGTTTTTATAGCCAGCCTTGGGGGAGAATGGACTGAGAGGCAGGAGGGCAGAGGAAGGTCAGGGAAAAACTTTTCCTTCTGAGGCTACTGCTGAGGTTTTCATTTTGGGGCACTGTCCTCTGAGCCCCAACAATGACAAAGCACACACAACATTCCTTAAAATGCCCGGCTTCGGTACTGTCAGAAAGTGGGCTGCGGGACCCCCCAGCTCACGACTGGCTCTGTGGGTTGTGTGTGTGTCTGGGTGTGTGGCTGCAATCTGCATCCTCCTCCCGCCCTCCTCCCTCCCCTCCAGCCACTGTGGGATTGGTGACTCTCAGCCCCTCCCCTCGGCTCCCCCAGACCCTCCCAGAGCCTTTATCTGGGAGCTGAGGCTGAGTTCCAACCACCCTCCCGATCCCTTCCACTCTGTCTCTCTCTTTGCAACAGCACCGGCTGCACAGCGTGTGGGGCTCCCAGCCAGCTCCAGATCCTGCCAGAACCTCCAGCCCCAGGCACAGAACTGTTCCACAGGTAGGCGAGTGGGGGAATGTTGGAAGGGCCAGAGCTGGCACCAAGGGGCAAGAGCCAGAGTCAGGAGGGAATAAGGAGATGGCAGCCTTTGATGGGGGAGCAGGGTGCTGGGAAGCTGAGCAGAAAGGGCAGGTTAGTGCCTGGAGCCTGTGGGTACAGACCGATTCTTTCCTAGCAGAAAGTTTTTGCCCAAGTCTTGGGGTTATCTTGCACTGGAAAACAGCATCCCGGATCCCTCCTCCAGCAGAGTAAGGAAACAGAGCGGAGGGTCCTATAAATCCATCATCTTTCTTGGGAGTGAGAGCCCCCTGGCATCACTGTACCATTGCTCATTGCTATGGTCACATCCTGGGGATTTTGATGGGGGAGCAGGGAAATTGAGCACACCAGCTGTAACCCCTGCTCAGAGACACTTTCTACTCTCTCCAGACCAGGGCTTAGACAGGGAAGTTGGGGGCTGGGGGAGCTGGGCCGAGCCAGGCTGTGAACGTCTTCACATTTTTATCCATGCTGTGTCCTCCTCCTCTCCCCCGGCTCTTGTCTCTTTGTCTTCCAGCTACCATGAAGAGTGCACTGCTCTTCACAGCCATCGTGGCCCTCAGCCTGGCTCAGAACTTTGGGGCTGTCTGTGAGGGGTCGCAGGAGCAGGTAAGTACCCCCTGGCAGAGTACTGGGATCATGGGAATCCGGGTTCTGCCTGTCCGGACTGCTGTAGTGAGGGAGGTGGGTGGGCAGGGTAAGGAGTTATGTGGGTTAGCCATCAGATGACACTTTGTCTCTCTCTGGATTTCTCGACCTCTCTGGTTCTCTCATGAGAACCTGGTATGTCTGTAAGTGTCCCTGTTTCTCTGCGTGACTTTGACGCATTGTTCATGAAAGGTGTTCTATTAATATGTTGTTCGGTTGGTTGACTGACAGGAGACTTGGTGATTGGAAGGGTACTGTGAGAGGTGAGGTAGGGTGGTCTAAGATTCTCCGGGGTCTAGCTCAGGTCTGTCCCTTGGCAGGGGACAGATCCCTTCATTCCCCGAATGGTAGTCAGCATTTCTTTCCCAAATGATGATTGTATGCTATTTTACTCATTAGTCTTGTATGTTATTTTATTTTCAAAACAAATACATGTCCTTATCCTCTGTTCATCCACCCCTAGTAGCCTCAGTTGCTTTTAAGAGCCCAACCCCTTCCTTCTCTCCTCTCCTCTCCCTCGCTTGCCTCTATCCTCTGCTTGGTCAGGATAGGAAGAAAACTACAACAGGAAAAAAACCAGGTTAAGCCCTGATTTCCAAAGTTCCTCTAAGAAAAAGAATAGGAACCATCAGGGTAGGGGTACAGTACGGGAGAAGAGGGAGGAAATCTTTTCAAGGTTTTGAAATGACAGCAATTACATTGGTACAAATGCTTTTAAGATGATTACAGGTGGGACTTACTACAAAGTCAATGTGTGAAGTCTAACTGCCTCTTCAGCTCAAATCTGTTTAGCATCTCATTATGGGAAATGGGCAGAGTATTCGAACAACCTGGAACAGTGGCTGTTTGAAGACACGCACCAGGCCTAGAGAGATCAGCAGGGCTGCTTTACAGATGGCAGCACCTGCGCTAGACCCAAAAGACCAGAACCCATTCAAAAAACACCCAGGGTGTGCCAAGTACGGGTTGGACACTGCTTGGAGTCACAAAGTTCCAGCCTGGGATAGCCAGAGCATCTTCGAAGGCAAGCTTGCTGCAGGCCCTTGGGCAACAAGATATCCCCTCTGCCCTTCCTGATCAGTGAAAGAGAGGGTTTGCTGCCCCATCCCCCCTCCCCAGGGTCTGTGAAGATGAGGGAAGTTGGGGCAGGAAGAGGGTAGGGAATGTGTGGGCCTAGGCAGCCCGGACGGTTTTGTGTATGGGGTGTGGCCTGTGTACTTGCACTTTGAGGTAGCCCAGCAGCCCTGGAATGCCTGGTTCTGGAGAGAGAGACACTCTGGAGGTTGGAGGTGAGAATCTTTGAACTCGATCATTGCCATTGTCTCTGAGCAGCTGTTCCCTGCTGTGCCCAAGTTGCTAAAAAACAGTCACAAAGAGCCAGGCTCAGTGACTCAGCCTGTAATCTCGCACTTTGGGAGGCTGAGGTGAGTGGATTGCCTGAGCCCGCGGGTTCGAGACCCACC